GGTACGCCTCCACGGTTGTTTCAAGCGCTGTATCGGGGAACTTCACACTGTGTTGTGGGAACAACTCTCCGTGCAATAGTGTTGCGCTGATGAGGTGCTGGGTGAAGGAGAACCTCTCTTTGGCATGACTCAGGATGGTATCACATACCTGCAAAAGATACATCATCAGCTTTAATTTGCAATTAAGCTATTTTGATGCAAGTGATCCTGACTGACATATGCCTATGTCCAACTCAAGTATATGATTACCAAGGTGCTGATTGTTCAGGGTTTTGGCTACATACTACCAGGCCTGAAAAAAGTTCTAGGGGGAAACACTGACAATTACATCACAACTTACCTCTATAGCCAACCTCTGTTGTTCTCCTGGTCCCAGCATCCTCCGTCGCTTGATGGGCTGTTGCTGCTCGTCAGATGCGCTGGCCCCACACAAAGAGGGAATTGAGGCCCTGGGTCCAAAAAATAAAGTTTAATTTGATAACTTGCAATCAGACTTCTTAACTCACTGTAATTCCCCCTCAACACACAACCAGTGACTTTTATATATATATATATATATATATACAGACAGACAGACAGACAGACAGACAGACAGACAGTGTGTATATACACACAAACTATGTCTAGTAACTGCTTTTAACCTGTGATGTACATAATTAACTGATGTTATTACGTTTTAAAGCCTTTTTCTATTACATTTGTGAGAGGGATGCAACATCATTTTGTTCTGCTGTGCACTTAGCAATAAAGTTAATCTTCAATAACAACTAGGCCTCTTCTAGAAATTGACCTGGTGGACACCTGACCTGAATAATTATTACAAACTGTGTAGTACTTTCCTGCATTATTATCAACGTCTGATTGTGTCTTCTCTTTCCTTTTAAAATACTAAAACAAATATAATTGTGACGGCTCTATGATAATCACTCACTTTGATGACCAGACACATTTAGGCTTTTAAACTGTTGTAAGTGAACTATTCATCTTTCTAACAACATCTTTATCAGCCAATAGTAAATATAGTTATTTACCTGATTGTTAGCATGCTGTCTGTGAACCTCTGGACAAGTGCTTTAATGAAGACAGGGTCGATGTTCCTCTTCTGCAGCTGGCTGAAAAGCATGTCCACATTTGGCATGATCTTGTGGAACAGTGCCAGGAAAAAACAGAAAGCCTCGTCTTCGAGCATCCTCACAAAGCCCCCCGCCTCTCTGACAGTCGGGGCATCAAAGTTCCCAGAGTCTCTGATGGTCTGGAAACACGTTAGGAGGTCATCCCTGTACTCGTACACAGTGTTTACAGCGCGACTGTGGAAGTTCCACCGTGTTGTAGAGGCTCTGGGGAGTCTATGCGCAACCACTTCGTCAAGCACGGTGGTTCGCTTGGGAGACCTGGAGAAGAAAGCAGAAAATCCTGCAAGGTCGGAAAAGAAAGTGCCGATCCTGGGGATGCGTGAAGTAGCCTGCTGCATGATGAGGTTCAGCTGATGTGCATAGCAGTGGACGTAGTGCGCATTTTCGTACACATCCACTATTTTACGCTGCACTCCGCCGGTGGCTCCCCTCATCACACTTGCTCCGTCGTAAGCCTGGGCAATAAGTTTGGCCTTTTGTCCATGTGAGAGTATGGTGCTGAGCCTCTCCAGCAGCGCTGTAGCGATGGTGTCGGCGGTTGCGTTCTCGATCAAAATGAACTCGAAAAAACGCTCTTGGACGTTACTTTTAGCATCGATGTAGCGTATCACAAGCACCAACTGGCAGTGGGTGGAAACGTCAGTCGTCTCGTCAGCTTGAATGGCGATAAAATCAGCACTCTTTACTTCCTCCAGGATGTAATCCTTAAGCACTGACAGCATACAGTCCAACAGCTCGTTCTGTATCGTCTTTGACGTGCCCTTAAAAACGGTAGCTGTCTTCAGGTGCTCCTCCAGCACACTGTCGAGGGAGGCAACAAAATCCACTAAGCCCCGGAAAATGCCGGGGTTGTCCGAGGAGTCAGTCTCCTCGTGCCCACGCAAGGCCAACTCAAAAGCCCCACAGAACTTCACACAATCGATAATTTTGGATAGAATGTGCCTGTTTTTATCCACCTCCTCATTGTGTTTCCTCACCGCAATCCTGTGGCCGTCATCCAGCTGCGTAGCAATGTTCACCCTTCCTAATACAGCTAGCTTTACAGAGTTGTCCATGTGTGCCCTGGTGTTCTCATGTTTCTTTACCTTCTCTGACAGGTGCTTCATATCCCTCACTCCGGTACCTGTCCATGCTGAATCTGACCCCGTCGTTTTTAAAAAGCAAGCACGGAAAGCAAAATAAAGCATTAGCATCAGTGCACCCAGCTAGCCAAGCCTTCCTGGTGTACCAGCTACGGGAGAAGCCGCGCATATACTGCTTCCCTTTCTCGCTAGCCTGCTGTCTGATTGAGAGGTCAGGTTGATCTGGGCCCAGCTCTTTCACCCGAACTTTCTCTGACAAAGTTCTCCTCTCAAACGGATCTTGGAGGAGAGATTTCACCGAGTTAGGGTTGGGTCTTGGAGGAGTAACGTTTGCGCTCGCCATTGTCGTCTAGTAAAAATGGCGCCACTGGAGCCCGGTCCTTATTTTATCAGGGGCGAGCTTGGGGCGATAAAATAATCGCCCTCCTTGGATTCGATTTAAGATCGCTGATTGGCTACATTTTATGTCATACATTCATATCTTAAATTAGCAATTGGCTTAACTGCTACGTAGACCCGCCTCCTCGGGGCACTTTCTGTATCGCCCAGAGCTGACGAGGCGTTTGACAGGCAGAGGAAAGGTTGCGAATATGATTTTCTATCATATCTTACACATATTACTGTGTGCATTCCATATTTCAAACACACAAATATTGACATACTGATGTTTTTATTATTATTATTATTTTTATTTATTTTTTATTTTATTTTTTTAAATAATTTTATTTAAGGGGGCGGCGCCCTAGCGCCCTCTATCGGCCAGCCGCCACTGCCATGTGTGCAACTTCTGTAAGTGCTTCTATGCCACTACACAAATGCGATGATATGCATGCAATGCTTTATTATAAAGGTTTAAAAAAAGGATCTCATGCGTTACGGTGCCTCAGAGCTCCCTAGGTCACGCCCTTCTTGCGCTCACGATCTAACAAATTAAGCACTGAACACAGGTAGTAGTCTAGATTAGTTAACCACCATATATTAAAATATCCACACAAGCCACTAGCCAGCCAGCCTTATCATGAGTTAGATGATGAAAATTAGGCAATATTATTTAGTCATTTAAGAGCATTGAAAATAAATCACAATGTACAAAACATTTAGCTAGCTATAACTAGGAGATGTACATAAATCATCAGCATCAATGATCAGCTGATAGCCCACCTTATTTTCCTGATGTCAATCATGTCTTTAGGAGGCACTGTAACTAGCTTGCTTACAATTTGTGTTTTTATTTTATTAGGATCTCTTTTAGTCCTAATTAGGACTTATCTTCTAAGAGTCCTTAATGAGTGAGTGTTACAGAAATAAATAGGCCTATGCAAAAAAAGTAATATGTTTTTGCTACAGAGGCAGTTGGTATGTTTTTAAAGTAGTTTTCTTCCACAAGGGGGTGAGTGCCCTTTTTTCCTTTTCAGCCCCCTGAAAGGTCTGTGCACGGCCCTGTCGAGGGTGTCTCAGTGAGAGTTAGGATATGCAAAAAACTAAGAAGCCGTTTTGGAGGTCCTGGGCTTGCGTGGTTACACGTGGTGTTGTGAGGCCGGTTGGACATACTACCAAATTCTCTAAAACAATGTTGGAGGCGGCTTATGGTAGAGAAATTAACATTCAATTCACTGGCAAATAGCTCTGGTGGACATTCCTGCGGTCAGTATGCCAATTGCATGCTCCCTCAAAACTTGAGACATCTGTGGCGTTGTTGTGTGACACAACTGCACATTTTAGTGGCCTTTTTATTGTCCCCAGCACAAGGTGCACCTGTGTCATGATCATGCTGTTTAATCAGCTTCTTGATATGCCACATCTGTCAGGTGGATGGATTATCTTAGCAAAGGAGAAATACTCATTAACAGGGATGTAAACAAATTTGTGCACAAAATTTTAGAGAAATACTGGCATCATTTTATTTCAGCTCATGAAACATTGGATCAACATTTTACATGTTGCCTTTTCTATTTTTCTTCAGTGTACATTACCTGGAAACATAATGAGAAAGTTTGGGGAATGTTCTGTGGTGGTTGTTCGATGTTGTGCACTTTCGTGAACGTTAGAACATTCCAAGGATTTGTCTTTTTTTCTGAAGGAAAAATAAAAGTTAGCAAAACATTGTTTGAATGTTTTTGGGATGTTATCCCAATGTTAGATGAAACCCTAACTAGAATTTAATGGGAATCTTAGCTAATGTTCCCAGTTTACTGGGTAGTGTCGCACTCCTGATGGAAACACAATAACACTAGAGCTTACATCAACATAAAACACTGCCGACCCACTGGTGTAGGGGTTAGTTGCCATGGAAAAGCACCATTAGACTCTGATACAGTAATGCACACTCAGTTTCAGGTTATGCATTGGGATTTCTCTGATACATTTCCATTTGTATTTCATCCCCTGAATAAGAATAATGCTGAGACTCCCTGATATGACTTGGCTGTTATGATGCATCCTCCTCTTGACATGTTTCAAGGCTGGCAGACATGTTTGTTAAAAGTAAGTAATCCAGCACGTGCTTTCAAGGTTCTGCCTCAGAACAGAGGCCCTGATATGGCAGGCAGAACATCTGTTGCTTATCCATCAAGTCAACCTCTTGCTGGTTGAGTGATTTTGTTGTCTAGATTTGTAACTCCTTGGTTACATATTTGATGGGTAGTATGAATCAGCCATTTTTGTAAAAGCATTGGAAATGTCCTCCTCTTTCAAAACTGAGGGAGACATAAAATGGTTGAATGCATATGTTCACAACCCCCAGTATCATATTAATAAAAGCATGTTTTCTCTCTCTCACTCTCAGTGCCCCGTCCCATTATCCACCCTCTGTCCAGCCCCAGTAACATGTTCTGTGTGACCAGCCTGGACCCGGACACACTGCCCTCTGTGGCCACCCTGCTCATGGACGTCATGTTCTACTCAGGCGGGTAAGGACCCTCTCCTCAGTACTCCTCCTGTTTCACATATGGCTGTCACCAGAGGCCATCTGCCGTCTCTTTTTAAGAGACTATCATACACACAGCCACAGGAGCACTTAGCTGCTCGAGTTCAGACCATTTGTTTAACATAGGATGTCTAAAACCTAGGATGAGGGTTAGACTTGAGCAGGGGCTGTCGTAGGATGGTTATGCTGCTGTTAGTAGGCAAGAAACTAATTTTCACGATTTCACTAAAATAAATCCATAAACCATAGCATGTTTTTGGGATTATTCAGTAATTTTTACCTGATTTTAAGTAGAATCCTGTTGAAAAAGGTTAAAAGTTCCATTTATATTCCTAAAACATAAGTTGAAAATGATATTGTTGCTGCTTCCTGTTGTCATGGATTTTTAATAAAAATAGCCAAGTGTCAAAACACCGGTTTTAAACGTAAAAATTCATAATCAATATTCTGAAATAAGTTGTGATATGTTGAAGACCATGACATAAACATTACTCCCTATACATGTCTCACTTGTGTTTTGCTAAATTAGTACCTTAACTGCTCACGCACCAATATTTTCCAAGCGGTCACTCTTGACTGAAATTGATTAGCTTTTTGTACTGTAATCAATAGTGTGCGCAAATTAATCACTCACATAGATATTGTATGGAAATCAATATAACTGGGACAATAACCACGGCGACATGTACCGTTTGCACTCTTCTAACAGACAAACCTCAAAGAACTTGGGTATACTACATATACCAGTCGATAGATGAAAGACATTTATCAACTCATCTCTGTGGGGAAATGTTTACGGTAGATGGCCAATACGAAAAAGGAAACAACACTTTTTGGACTGGATAATTTCAACAAATCAAATTCCCACATTGATTTCTAAATAGTGACAGGCTTGGCTTTCGTATGAGTGATAGTTTGACCCTCATATCCGCGTGTGGTATTGTGGCCAGAGACGTTTGTAGGAGGAACACAAATTATTTCTCACCACCGTCCTCTGGAAAATGACTGCTGCCACCGACAGGCGCATCTGACAAAAACACTAGTACTAAACCAAAGATATTTATCTGTTTTTAAGCAATCGATTTTGTGAAATTGTGATGACTATAAACTTTTATAGTATCATCACCGATCTCTGGTAAAAAGGATGTATTTCCTGTAATAAGTGTGGTGAAAACGTTAGCCTGTGTTATGTAGTAACACATTCTGTCCACTATAGGGAAATTGGCTTAATATAAAACTCTGTCAAAATAATTTAATGTTTAGATTTAGGATGATGGTAATGAAGCACACTCACAGGTTTTTACAATAATTACATCCATTTCTTATTACTTTAATCATGGAGAGAGTTTAAAAATGCTCCTAAACACAATTTAACTGGGCGCTCTAGACTGGAACTTCCATAGTGTCTGTGCAGCAGCCTAAACGTACGACGTCCCTACTAGCGTTGAATATTTTCCCAGTATTTTACAAATGTTCCATCCCGAGAATAAATCACTTGTCTCCCTGGAAACCCGGTATTTCCCGCCAAAACCGGAAGTGTCATTCAAAAGCATTATAAAGCATTTAAATAGGCCTAAGTCTGGATTTGATTAGAGCTTTGATTGAAAATTCAAGCCTGACACTACGTGATCATGATGATCTATACATTAAATACATTTTATGAGCTCTACATTAGTCATTTTAATGAGCCCAAGCAAGCCCAAATAATTGTGCCATTATCCAATACATACTGTATATGATATAAGCTACTGCAAATTGCGCACGATAGAAAAACATAAAAGCCCATAGATGTAGTGATCTATATGCTCTCTTGGGTAAATAAATGAAACTAGCTCCATTAGGCAAATCTTTTTGAGTGTGAACTATACTGTACTGTACTGTATTATATGGACTGGAATTACGCACATTGTTCAAACCATGATAAAGCAGGGATAGAACATGCGATTCTGGTGCAGCACATGCGGCCTACAAAGTTACAGAAGGCTTATACTTCTTCTCACGGAGATTTAATGGTTATGGGTCTGAATAAATAACTGCTATAGCCTACCGCCATCGCACGTTCGCTCTTCTTTCAAACTACCCGTGAGTTCTATTGGCTGCTGTATTTAACATTCAGCAAACAGTAGCTTGCGTTCCTCTTCGAATACTCTATTGGTATAAGAAACGCTGAAAATAACGTCCAGCAAGCTATTCTAGTCTAGCTTTCTTGCACGGGACTCCAAGAGCTAAGGAGCGTTTTTTGAAAGAGAGGCCAGTGGAGCACAGGTGCTGCGTTCATATTGCGCAAGAGACAGAGGCTATAAGTTAGAAGCTTATTATGCATAACCCATCATTAATTAGCTAAATATAAGGCTAATACTGCATTGAATGTATTACCTGAAAGAGGTAGTCTAGGACATCTCTCTCTCTCTCTATCTCTCTCTATCTCTCTCTATCTCTCTCTCTATATATATATATATCTCACATGCATTGTGAACTGCGCTCCATATTGAGATGGGCTGTCACCCTGAGCGTTGATGATTTATCATGCAGCAGCCGTAGAGAAGCCAGAAGTAAAATTTCACGCCATGCTGTTAACATAAATAATGTATTATAATTGACCAGTTTCTCAGTTATTTATCCCGGGAAAAGGGAGTGATTTTGGGTGGTAAATCTCGGTAACCGGGTTCCGGCCGTACAACCCTAGTCCCTACTTTTAGGATTAGACTTTAAAGGTGGTGAAAAGTTTGACTAGCAGACCACTCGACATGATGATGATGACTAGGTTGGAATGGGTTTTTGGACAGGACCAAATGTAGTTGCAAGATAGTTAGATTGGACATACTTGAATCTCTGTACTTTCTATTCCAGGATAAAGGAGCCCGGGGCGTCTACCGAGGACACTGGACACATCCGCTTCTTCTCTTTCTCTCTGATTGAGGGCTACATCTCTCTCGTCATGGACGAGCAGACGACACGGCGGTGGGTGCTCTCCATGCTTTCACATGGTTATGGTGTCTATTACCGTCAAAGGCAAAACAATTTGCGGTTTGAAGTCATTTGTGGACAACTTGTTTGCTGGGTTTGCTGCTGGGTTGTTAGGAAACAAACATAGATGATCATAGAGGGTTTACAAATAAAGACGGTTATGTAGAGGTAACCCGAACAGCTGCATTACTAATCACATGTGGATTAAACTAAAGGATTACAGTACCACTACATTAGTAGATACACTATATATACAAAAATATGTGGACACCCCTTCAAATTAGTGGATTCCGCTATTTCAGCCACACCCGTTGCTGACAGGTGTATAAAATCGAGCACACAGCCATGCAATCTCCATAGACAAACATTGGCAGTAGAATGGCCTTATTACAGAGCTCAGTGACTTTCAACGTAGCACTGTCATTGGATGCCACCTTTCCAACAAGTCAGTTTGTCAAATATCTGCCCAGCTAGAGCTGCTCCGATCAACTCCGATCAACTGTAAGTCCTGTTATTGTGAAGTGGAAATGTCTAGGAGCAACAACGGCTCAGCCGCGAAGTGTTAGGACACACAAGCTCACAGAACGGGACCGCGGAGTGCTGACGCGTGTAAAAATCGTCTGTCCTCACTACAGAGTTCCAAACTGCCTCTGGAAGCAACGTCGGCACAACAACTGTTTGTCGGGAGCTTCATGAAATGGGTTTCCATGGCCGAGCAGCCGCACACAAGCCTAAGATCACCATGCGCAATGCCAAGCGTCGGCTGGAGTGGTGTAAAGCTCGCCGCCATTGGACTCTGGAGCAGTGGAAACGCGTTCTCTGGAGTGATGAATCACGCTTAACCATCTGGCAGTCCGACGGACTAATCTGGGTTTGGCGAATGCAAGGAGAACGCTACCTGCCCCAATGCATAGTGCCAACCTTAAAGTTTGGTGGAGGAGGAGTAATGGTCTGGGGCTGTTTTTCATGGTTCGGGCTAGGCGCCTAAGTTCCAGTGACGGGAAATCTTAACGCTACAGCATACAATGACATTCTAGACGATTCTGTGCTTCCAACTTTGTGGCAACAGTTTGGGAAAGGCATTTCCTGTTTCAGCATGACAATGCCCCGTGCACAAAGTGAGGTCCATACAGAAATGGTTTGTCGAGATCGGTGTGGAAGAACTTGACTGGCCAGCACAGAGCCCTGACCTCAACCCCATCGAACACCTTAGGGATGAATTGGAATGCCGACTGCGAGCCAGACCTAATCGCCAACATCAGTGCCCGATCTCACTAATACTCTTGTGGTTAAATGGAAGCAAGTCCCCACAGCAATGTTCCAACATCTAGTGGAAAGCCTGGCTGTTATAGCAGCAAAGGGGGGGACCAACTCCATATTAATGCCCATGATTTTGGAATGAGATGTTTGACGAGCAGGTGTCCACATACATTTGGTAATGTAGTGTACTTTATCATGGGCTTGTTCTACATTGACAAGGTATCCCTTATATAGGTCAGTGGTGTCTCCAAGCTATGAAGGGGGACAATAAGTGGACCAAGCTTTTAGCACTTCCGAAGTGATGTATTTTTCACCATAGCATGTAGGGCAACCACTGGCCTACAATCTGAATTTGACCAAATCATAATTTTTTATGTTATTGCTATAGATTGAATGAGTATGTACATTCATTTTTTCCCTTCTAGGTTTCCCAACAATGTCCTCTTCACTAGTGCTTCAGGGGAGCTTTGGAAAATGGTTCGCATTGGAGGACAGCCTTTAGGATTTGGTAAGTAGGACCGTTGTGGTTCTCTCAGGTTGGTTTCCACAGGTCTCCCACATGTTAGTCAGATCTCTGTGCAGAGTACACATCACCAGGAAACACTGTTTGATGCGAGTGTAATTTGGCTAAGATTCTGAAAAACCTCCAACTGTGATGCCAATCTGAATATTACTTGGCAATGTGAGGAATACATTAAATGCCCAGATACACCTCAAGTCTGAAAGAAATATCTGATATTTATGGATATGTGTTCTGTATTCTTATTGCCTTGTGTCAGACGAGTGTGGTATCGTGGCTCAAATATCGGAACCCCTGGCGACTGCTGACATTCCAGCTTATTACATCAGTACCTTCAAGTTCGACCATGCCCTGGTGAGTGATGGTTTACAACTCTACACCCTCTCTGTATCTCTCTCTCTCTGTTTGTATGGTAAAGAGGTCAGTTTAAACTGGAACCTTTGGAATAATAATGATTTAACTTCCGTCCTCCTATCTCTCATAGGTCCCAGAAGAAAACATCCAGAGTGTGATTGGAGCTTTGAGGACCAATGAGAGCGCAGGACAGTGAAGGCGAGGTGGGAAGAGACCGTGGAACGAGCGATTTATCATGTCAAAAAAATAAATAAGTGCCAAGACTGTGGTTCTGGGAAGAGGGTAATGCAAAGCTTGAGTGGTGTAGATGGGGGACGGGGGAGGGACAGTGTATGTGTGTGTGTATAGGCATGCTTTTGTACAAGACCATCAACGTGTCCCTCCCATTCTGAGACGGTTCCAACTACGCTCCAAACCCCACCTGCCACCCCCTTGAGCATCTACTCTTACCCCAAACAACATCCACCTCTTTGGGGACCCAAAGCTAGAGTGACTGCAGTGTTTTTTCTTTTCTCTCGCTCTCCTATTTCCTTCTCCTCCCCCTCAGACCATTTCACCATGGCAACGTGACCTACTGAATTTGGGCCTATTTCTTGGACACCAGCCTGAGATGCTGCCAAGCAGCCCTCCTTTTACTCTTCATGTGCCACCCATGCGGTCCATGACTGCCTATAGTGATAGGTGTTGCTTTAGTATACCAGACTTTACTTCCTAACTTTACATAGTTTTTCCAAGCTGCTCTTTCCATAACAAGCATACTGTATTAGTTACCAGTCCTCCTCTTATGGAAAGAAAGAGAATGTACTCTACAAAAAATTATCAATATTTGTATTTATTTTTCTCAGTGCCAAGAGGTTTTAAAGACCCGATGCCTTGTCTAGTGCTCAGCATGTGTGCAATTTCAGATCCGATTTTGTCAGATGGGGAAATTAAAGACTGGTGAATGTTTACTGATGAATCACAGAGCCACTGATCTATAGAACATATCATATAAACAACAGTCTAATGTGCTATATATAAGCCAATTTTCATGTAGTCTGGGTCGTTTCGGGAGAACTAGGTTATCGTTTTGCGTCGAGTGCCACACAATGCTTGACTACAAACCAGTCCTTTACCACAAACTAGAAGAATAACTTCAACGCTAGGAAAGCAAGTGTGGAGGAGAAGGGGTGGGGGACTTTGCGGTCGTGGACTTTGTTTTTTTGCGGTCGTGGATCATTGAACCAGTCATGCAACCCTGGTGTCAGTTTAGTCATTCTCCCCCCCCTCCCCCACCCCGGTCTGCACTTTAATACAGGTCCATCTTACTGACCTGCTGTACTGATGTGAAAACGGGGAAGACTATTTTATCCTTGAAGGATTATCTTGAGAAGTGGAGACTTTTGTTGGTCTTAAAGCATTGGTGGGTATTTTATTCTCTGTGACAAGCAAAAGCATTCTTCTGTTAGCTTTGATTTGCAGAAACCATGTATTTATCAGTGTTAAAAACATAAATGGTGACATTTCTTCTGATAAAAAAAGCTCTTTATTTTCAGCTTGTGTTTGGCTTCACAAGTCCCTCACCTATCATCTATACCGTTTTTGTTTGATTGTCTTCATTTCTAACATTAGTCCCCCAGAGCCTTAGCATATTCAAAACCACTTGATTCAAACCATATCAGAAATTATAAGATGGATAAAACTCATCTTACCATTATCCTAATTTAGACGAATGGATTCTGACAGGAACGTGCAGCTTTCAGCAATTGTATTACCATATGTAGTCGCATTTCAGGAAATGTGGGCACAATCAGAATGTAGACAAGATCAGGACAAAGGACCCATTTTAGCACCAGGTATAAACGGGGCTTCTGATTTCATGTGATGGGCTAGAATGTAAACCTCTCTGCATGGGGCATTGGGGACTGCTGTTGGGAGTCCTTGTATTGAGCTAGATGCTGTACTACTCTTATTGGCTTTTTACTCCAGAATCTTTTTTATTATTTGGCAGGGCTAGGTTTCCCACTACAATGCACCCTGCTTATAACAATCAAAAGCGATAGATTTGAAGTGGTCAAAAAGTGAGACTGAATCATTCTTATTACTTACAATGTACAGTGCATTCAGAAAGTATTCAGACCCCTTGACTTTCCACATTTTGTTACGTTACAGCCTTATTCTAAAATAGATTAAATTGTTTTTTTCCCTCAATCTACACACAATACCCCATAATGACTAAGCAACAGTTTTTTAGAAATTCTTGCAGATGTTTTGAAAATAAAAAACAGATCACATTTACATAAGTATTCAGACCCTTTATGCAGTACTTTGTTGAAGCACCTTTGGCAGCGATTACAGCCTCGAGTCTTCTTGGGTATGACGCTACAAGCTTGGCACACCTGTATTTGGGGAGTTTCTCCCATTCTTCTCTGCAGATCCTCTCAAGCTCTGTCAGGTTGGATGGGGAGCGTCACTGCACAGTTATTTTCAGGTGTCACCAGAGATCAGTCAGTTGAACTATCCATTAGGCCCTAATCTATGGATTTCACATGACTGGGCAGGGGCGCAGCCATGGGAGGGCATAGACCCACCCAATCAGAATTAGTTTATCCACACAAAAGAGCTTTATTACAGACTGAAATACTACTCAGTTTCATCAGCTGTATGTGTGGCTGGTCTCAGATGATCCCGCAGGTGAAGAAGCCGGATGTGGAGGTCCTGGGCTGGCGTGGTTACACGTGGTCTGCAGTTGTGAGGCCGGTTGGACATACTGCCAAATGTTCTAATAAGATGTTGGAGGCAGCTTATGGTAGAGCAATAAACATTTAATTCTCTGCCAACAGTGCTGTTGGACATTGTTGCAGTCAGCATCTGTGGCATTGTGTGATAAAACTGCACATTTTAGAGTGGCCTTTTAGTCCCCAGCACAAGGTGCACCTGTGTCATGATCATGCCGTTTAATCAGCTTCTTGATGGATGGATTATCTTGGCGTTAGTGGAAATCCTCACTAACAGGGATGTAAACAAATTTGTGCACACAATTTGAGAGAAGCCTTTTGTGCTTCTGGAAAATTTCTCGGTTCTTTTATTTCAGCTCATGAAACATGGGACTAACAATTTACATGTTGCGTTTATATTTTTGTTCAGTATACTTTGCTTATCAAGAATGAAATCGCCCAAGGCGGATGTGATTCCTAGAACACTATGTGATGGAGGAAAAATGCAACAGGATTTTAACTTTGTCCCCTATAAATAGACAAGACGGGAATCAAACAGACAAGACGGGAATCAAACAAACCACAATGCGCACTGCACTTGACTTTTGGAAGTTGGTGAGGGCTTTGTCTAGCCCTTACATGCTGATGCGCGTTAGTTTTCTAAAGGCTATGACCAGAGCTAAAGCTATCAGTGCTAGCTCAGAAGCAATCACGTTTGTCTGCCATTTTAAAATGTTGTTGCTAATCATACTAATTTGCAAAAAAAGTTTGCTAAAGGTGGGGGAAAATAGTATTTTGCAGGAGTTCATACTCTGTAGTCAACCGTGCCCACCCCCCACACTTGTCTTTTAACAGCAATTTCCCTTCCTTATAGTCAAGTGCAGTGCGATGACGGCGCATTGCGGTTTGTTTGAATCCTGGCCAAACACTTTAATTTGACCTTTGTTGAGAAGGCATCTTCCAGTACAATTAAATGTGTTCTGAAATTGGTATTACAAATAAAGCTTGTATTCTATACTTGAAGTGCTACTAAACATAATCAGTTATACCTTTTATTGTTGGTCACTTTAACCCTAGTGTTAACCACATCTTTGTTTGACCAAGTCAGTTAATCCAAGTATTGACACAACAAGTGCCAACAATGGATTGCTGTCCTCATGGGTAGTCAAACCGGCAAGGTAGACCCCCCCCGTCCTAATTGTTTCAAATAGGAAAACATCCTAAAGATAACAATGAGAAGCATAGTATCAGGTCTCTCTGTATTATGTGACCTATGCAAACACTACAGAACACATACACTACATGGTCAAAAGTATGTGGACACCCCTTCAAATTAGTAGATTCGGCTATTTCAGCCACACCTGTTGCTGACAGGTGTATACAATCGAGCACACAGACATGCAATCTCCATAGACAAACATTGGCAGTAGAATGGCCCTTACTGAAGAGCTCAGTGATTTTCAACGTAGCTGACTAAAATAATGTAATAGCCTACATAGATAAAAAGGGGGTGTCCGCTCACTGTTCTGCTGCTGCCAAACTTGATATTTTAATAAAGCTTTGGTGAAGATTTATTTCAAAGCGGTCTCACGAGCCAAACCCGTTATCGACGGTCTTGACTACTTGGCAAATGCATTGGACTTAAAAAAAGCCTTCATTGAGGCTATGCTTGTTTTAAAAAAAAATCAAATTAAAACAATGTTTCTAAATATAAGGGTTAAGGGCACAAAAATAGCATATGGACACTGTGCATCACAGTTGGATAGGCTGCGCTTCTGTTGTCAAAATCTATGCCATAAACAACTGTGTTACTGGTAAAACCAGCTTTCGGTTGGTCTTAAATATCCTCATCAGCGCACACTGAAATTGGCACTTTGGCAAATGTTTTTAAGGACACACCTAATATAATACCACCTCTCCCAGTTGTCAGGAGACCA